GGGGGAGTGTGATGGTGTACCCCATGAGGCTTTATGGAAATATGCTTATGAATGTATATATGACATAATTGGAATATGTTTTATGCTACACATGCCATGTAACATATCTCTGTAAAGGTAATGATCTACTGAATACATTCCTCCTATTCGAAGTTATGAATATTGGCTGTGTACTTGTTTGATTTCTAAGAAGCTTTAGTAAAGCATTTGGTCAGCTTCTTGAGAAAGGAATGTGCAAATCAAGAAGCACTTAAAGGACAGTGAATCTTGAAAGGCTCCAATCCACGTAAGAAGTCTACCTGAGGACGTTCAAGGTAGCATGTAAACAATGGCTGCTGCCTGTAAAAACTGAGTCATGCATGGACATGTGACTTGCTCCAAAACTCCATCTTGGAGCTGGACTTTGCATAGGAGAGAGGAGGTGGTCTCCACCCACATGAAAGTCTATTTAAACCCCTGGGAGACCCCTCCATTTTGTCTTCAGCTGGCTAAAGAGATAGCCTCTCCACCCCCAAGGATACCTGAAAGAAACTGGAACAAAGGACTACAGCGGGTGTGAGTGACTGCTGGACCCAGACTAAATGGAGACTAGTCTGTAAAAGGAAGTTTACTGGAATTCCTCTGAAGGTGAGGTTTTTATCTGTATTAAGTTTTCTTACTGTATTAGACATAGACTTGCGTGTTCTATCTTATTTTGCTTCGTAATTCTCTTTGTTCTGTCTGCTATTACTTGAAACCACTTAAATCCTACTTTTTGTATTTAATAAAATCACTTTTTACTTATTAATTAACCCAGAGTATGTATTAATACTGGGGGGGAGGGGTGTGTGTGCAAATAGCTGTGCATCTCTCTCTATCAGTGTTATAGAGGGCGAACAATTTATGAGTAAAACGGATTTATTTAGGGTTTAGACTCCATTGGGAGTTAGGCATCTGAGTGTTAAAGACAGGAATACTTCTGTAAGATGCTTTCAGCTAAGTCTGCAGCTTTGGGGCACGTGGTTCAGACCCTGGGTCTGTGTTAGAGCAGACTGACGTGTCTGGCTCAACAAGACAGGGTGCTGGAGTCCCAAGCTGGCAGGGAAAGCAGGGGTAGAAGTAGTCTTAGCACATCAGTTGGCAGCCCCCAAGGGGGTTTCTGAGATCCAACCCATCACTGGGGGAACCAAAGGGTGCACCCCCCAACTAAACCTTATCTAAAACTAACACTAACTATACTCTATATATGAACTATTTACACGAAGAAGTTAAAGAAACTAGGGGAATTGCACTTGCAGAGCAAGAGCCACGAGCATTCAGGCTAACTGTCACAGGTGGTAAGAAGGAACTGAGGGGATGGCGGGTCGGCAGGGCCCTATAGTGAGCGCAATGAAGGTGCGATCACAGGGGGCGCCCAGGCCAACCCAACGGAGGCTGCTAGGGGAAAAACCTTCTGGCTGCTGTGCATGTGGCACGTGCACACCTAATTGGAATTGACATGAACAAGCACTTGAAGAAGAAATAATCATATTTCAACACAGAGAAGGCATCCCTTGTTCACTTCTGAGAACCACATGCCCATGGCTATCCTTAATCCTGAGCAAACTTACTTCATTTCCCAAGCATATTCTTGTATAGAAGACAAAATGATATAAGGAGGTAGATTGGAGTGAAAGAAAATAAGCTTATTTGAAAATGAGAGTGCTGAAAGTGAGGAAAGATGAAAGAACAGGGAAGAAGAGGGATGTTGACAGATTTAATTTCCATCATAGATGAAGAAGATTGTATAAAGGAAGATTTGAAGAGAGGAAGTGTTTGGATGAAGAAATTTAGATAGATCAGAAAGCACAAGTTAAAGGGTGAGCTTCAATTGTGGACAATTAAAGGAGAGAGTTCAAGGTTGTAAGAGCAAGTAGTGGGCAAATGGGAGATAGTGTGTCTTTAGTTTTAGAAATTTGTAAATACTGGGATTAGCACATCAGTTCAGAATTGTAACCAACAAGATGCAATGAACATGATATGGTTACATTTCCTGCAGTGGCAGAGTTATATAACCACAGCACGCTTGACTGCCCCAGAAGGATCTCAGGAGGCAGAGCTGAAGTAAGGGCAAATTCTGGCAACATTCTGGAAATGACAGAGAGCAGACTTGCACGGCAGATTAGAGAAATGAGAGGAAAAGGCAAATTCTGGGTAAAAGATCACTAAGGTTTCTGACCATAGTACAAAGTTGTCTGAGTTGTTGTGTTAAATGAACAGGGCAGCACATTTATAAATACCAAGGGCAGCGTGTAAATGGTAAATGTTTAACAATGGAATTTTTCCTTCCCGACTGATCTCACATAGCATACTAATTAATTTACCATGAGAAGTCATTTTTCCTTCATCATCTTAGTTTCAAACTGAATGTGAATGCTGATGGAAGAGCACTTCAGTTCTGTTCAGCAGTAAAAGACTTTAAATGAAAGACACTGAATACATTTAAAACTACAGACTAACCCCCCCCTCGCCCCCAAAACCCCACACTTCACAAAATTAAATGCAAGATAGACAAAATCATAGTATGGTCAGAGGTTGATAAACTCGAGACAGGCAAATAAATGAAACCTAAGAGGCATAACTGCATATCTTTCACATAGAAATTATGACCATATAAAAATAATAAGACAGCCTTATAAAACTCCATTCACCTGATTTTCTGGGGTGAATAATTTTACTGGAGAATAAATTGTGATGAACATTTCTTTTTGTCTACTCCTACCCTATAAAAGAAGTTGGCTAACAGATTTTTTTTGTTTTTTTGGGGAGGGGGAGGGGAGATCAATCAATCAAGTTTTATTGCACTTGCCAAATGCCTTTGCAAACAAACACCATAGTCAAATTGCAGTTAGTTCAAATATTATGAGATCTAGTAAAACCATCATCAACAAACCCAAGAAAGATGATCCAAGAACGTTCTACAAGCCAAGATCTGTGCAAATATGGATATTCTGAAAATCAAATAACTTAAGAGAAAGTCAGTGCAATATGAAGTTAACAACCAGATGGTTTGGTCTTTGGGAGCCATCTTTTCTTTTCCAAAATCATTAAATAGTGAGTCAAATTAAAATAGAACTTGCATAGATCCATAACATGTTAGGGTCATCTCCAAATCTCTTTTACACCACTTGGGCAGCAGATTCATTCATGTGAATACCTTTCCATCCAGCAATTAAAACAAGGTCAGACATCAGAGTCTCATGAGCATGTCTAAATTTTATTTTTAACAATTTTTTTAAAACAAGTATTGAATTCTCAAGTTGAGATAAGGACCCTGATCTTGTTTGTCAGTATCTCTAACACTTTGGTCAGGGCTTAAATTCTCCCCAAGTATTTCCCGGGGCTTGGTGCCAGGGCTCCCGCAGGTTTGAAAATATTTACCAGAGCTCTGTTCTGGATGGCTCTGGCTGAATTTAGCCCTGCGCTTAGTTAACAACAAAACAACGGATGAGGCTAATAAAAAAGGGTAGGTGAATATTTAAGATTCAAATAAACTTGCAGGGCTTGAAGAATCCATCTGACCATGATAAGCACAAAGCTTTCTCTGACGAAGATGGGGAGCCCTTACAGTTAAAAAAAATAACCTTTGAAATGTGAACCAAATGTAAACCAAAGCAACACAGTCTCGTATTGGCAGAGAGACAACTCTACCACCTCTTCTGTTACTCCTAGTTTTGTCAAGAAGCAGAGTGAAATTACCAGGACTCCTCAGCTTCACCACTGTCATTCAGGAAAGGACAATAGTAAAGTAAATAGTAAATAGTAAAAGTTACCCCTCCCATATACAACTTCTTTGCAGTAACCAGGAGGCTCTGAGGCAGTAAGAGAAAGATTTTCCCTTCCAGACACTCCTAAGTACTTTACATTTAATCAGACACAGTTAAAAGCTCATACAAAAGATAGTCTGAAAAAAAAGATCCATGGAGAATACCCATACAAGAATGTCAGCAGCCTACCCCTTCATAGTTGGTTGGCAAGGGGCCTAGGCTCCTTGTACCTTACCTGTTCCCATCTTTAAAAGTTACCTCTGGCTAAAGTACAAGGTTTTCCTCATAACCTTTTTAACTTGAGACATAAAAATCACATTTATCCAAGATCTTAATGAGAAAATGGCGATAGATGGGAAACAACAAAATAAAACTGCTATATGTAACATTACCATCGTAGAAGGTAGGCTGAGGATCCTAGCAAAAAACTATTTTGAACTTACTCAAAGGAGGAACACTCACAGACCAATTAACCTATGTAACAGAATGAAGAATATACACAGAAAAGATGAAAGACAGATCTTGAGGCATCCCATAGCTGTGGGGCGAAATTAAGAAATTAAAATTTATTTAGAGAAAAAAATGCAAAGAAGGTGCCCTTGGCTTCTTGCTCAAGGAGTGATCAATTTTCCCCAAAACCGCATTCAGATTAAGGAGGATAAGAAGAGACAGGGATTCATGTTCAAAAGCAAAATCATTACCACCAAGAGTATTGCAGTCTCACTATTGTGAAAGATATTATCAAACACAATCTCTGCTACAAGGTGTTATGCAACAGGATTGCAAGACAGAATCATTGATGAAATAATACTCCCTGTTGAAGATTGTTGTCAAAATCTATTAAACATAACTTTTTCCTGTAGCTTTCACATTGAATATCTTTGTTAAAAGTAATTTACTTTACCCTTACAGTTCACTTTATCTGTAATGCTGAACTTTAATAGCATAAGAATTCAGTTATATTTTGGATATTTAATTTTAGCTTATTTCACCCAATAAAGCCATACTCAAACCTATGTTCTGTTTAGCCTGTGTCTAACTATTCATCCTCCATTGGATGACTGAATGTGTATTGCAGCTATTGTGGTAAAAATGTCAAATGGCACATGGATAACAAATGACCGATTCAGAGAAAAATTGAAAAGTATTAAACACAAAACCTCCAGCTTTTAATTACTAAGTTAAAGGGTAGATTAATTTGGCAATCAGTCTTACCTCCTCACAGCCCCCAAATGGCAAAACATCTCACTGCTTATGCTCAAGTCAACTTTCAGACATCCGCTAGATCACTTAAAGAAGAATACAAAAGGAAAGTATATTTAATGATTGTGTTCATGTATATTTCCCCCTTTCAATTCTCTAAAAAACTGTTTTACAATTTAAGTAACAGTGGTAATGAACAATTAAGAAAATCCACAATGCAGGATTTGGTTTTACACAAGGATGCATTTTAGATTTTTTCCTAAGCTACAGGAAAAAAGTAACCTTTAGTAAATTATGTGATAAAATGTGTACTCTGTATTAATATAGGTGGATTTGAACTGACACTATTTGAAAATCTTAAACAGAATAATTTAAAGATACTCCAGTTTCTGGTGAGTATGGCTTTTAAAAAAAGTCCTTTGATATATTTAAAATGTTTTTCAATCTCCCTGTTGTTTTTTTATAACTGTCTTTTCAGCACAGGAGAAATTGACTGGCTACAAGGGGGAAACAGTGAAATTGACTATGCACAAAGTGCCCTCAAATCCACAAAATAAAATAAAAAAACCAAACAAACAAAAATAAAGCAAAACAGTTTTCCACCCAAACTTCTTCCAGTTATCTTAGGTGCTACATTTAACTTCAAAATTTTCAAAACAAATGAAGTTTTCAAGTTGGTTGTGTCCCTTTAAAAACAGGTGGCAGATACAAAACCAATAAAAAAAATACTTTTTCATACAATATATAATTAGATATGGAATCCATCGCCAACAGATTTCAAAATGAAATTAGCAAATTTTTGTATGGATAACAAGAAAATCTAGAATTACTGTAATAAACACTAAATAAACCAACCAAAAGCCACCAAACAGTTTTGGAAGGGCTTAAGCCAATTTCTAACTACTGAAGGTTAGGAGGGAGTATTTCTGGAAGCAGATTCTCTCATAACTGCGTGCTGCAGTTTTCTTGCATCTTCCACTGAAACATCTGGTGTTGGCTACAGTATTAATTATGTTATTAAACTGATCAACTGAACACACACAGAATTATTTCATTTGCACCCTAATCAAAAGACAGTTGTGTCTGAGCAAAACACAACTTTATTTCCTCAAACAAACTAGATTTATACTGCACTCCACTCGTAACACCAAAGTCTTTGGGAATAAAGCATCATTTTTGCCTTATCACTTCAGAACTCAAAGTGAATATATTTGGTTTCATAGTCCTATTGAGCCTTACTTCTCAACCGTAACATGAAGGGAGAGTGACATGCAAAAAGTTACTGCATTTAAAAAAAAAAAAACAAATCTGTCTTTAAATTTTAATGTATTTTTTAATTTTTATAGAGTGTTAATCAAGTGATACCTAGGCAGCTTGAAACAAATTGTGTTTTAATAGTCCATTCACCATATATTTTTAAAAACAGCCCTAATAATTTTTGATTTAATACTTTTGGAATTCTCCATAGATCTAGGGCCAAACACTTCCTTACGTCATGTATAAGGGTATTGGCTAATATGTATGTAGGCCTTTTTTTTCCCCTTGGAAAGGTACGAAATAGTTCAGCATAATTGGCTCCTCAAGGGAAGCAGCAGAGTGTGTGTATAAGAAGTCACTGCTGTCAGTTTCTCACATTTAACTGAGCACTTGATTGCTGTGAGCATTCCCAGCAGTATGCTGAACTGAACAACTGAACATTCCAGGTATACCAATGTTAGTAAGAGTGACAGATGTCATGAACAGGCAAAAGCTGAAGGAGTTTAAATACAAAGGAAATATTCACTTTTCTCGTGCAGCACAAAATCTGCTATGGTTAACCAGTTAAGTCAACAATTTGATCACTTTTCTAAAACAATTTTATAAACCCCAACACACTCTTTAAAATAGCGTGTGATTTGGTGAAAGATTTTTGTAGATTCTAGTCTTATGCCTGTTGAAGCAGCTACCCATTTCCCTAATTGGCCAGACTGCAGCATGGTTACTTCACAACAGTGTATACAGAATGAACTAAAACATTCATATAAACATTATTTTAGCTACAACATTTCCATAGGTTAAGAGTACAACACTAGAGCTGGTTCTGTGGCGTTTTGCTACCTCAGGCAGATTCAGAGTGGTCATAAGCAGTGCAATTACAAAAATTCAAAGACTTGAGTAAGTTTTTAAAATAGAATTTGCTGGGTGCTTCATGAGATATCTCTAGACTGCAAAAACTGCCTTAAAATTAAAATCTAAAATGCAAGTCTTTAGCTCTATGCAAGAGAGAATGAAGCAGGGCTGATTTGCCAACAGGAATATTTAAAAGTCACCATTGAAATCCACACCATTAACAATTGACTAAACATTTTGCTGCCTCAGACAGACACCTGTTGGGCCTATGCTGCATTATGTAACAGATCTGAGATGCAGTCATGTAACTGCAGTTCCAAATCAAAGCCTCTGGTGAGAGACAGGAAGGGAGGAGTTTGGGTCTCCAGATGAGTAGTGCAGGGTGCCAGAACGCTTCTGCAATCTCAGCATAAATACAGAAGAAGTTTACAAGACACAAGCCAAGTGTCTTCCAGCTCTTGACCATCAAAAGCTTATAAGGCCAGAGGGAAATGGGTAGCTTGACCTCTTGTATATGACAGGCCACCAACATCTCCTAAACTAGCCCCACGTATTACAGCCCAGGGGAGGTCAGTCTGCATCCAGACCTTGACCAGAGCCGCCCTACCCCAAGACCCCACGAAGGGCGCTCAGAGACAGCAGCCCAGCCCCTCCTGGCGGGCTGCGTTTCCGTGGGGTTAGTGGTTTAAAATCCCGTCTCTCTGAGGGTGGGTCCGAGCCAAGGCGGGCGTGGACAGCGCCAGTCACCTGGCCCCGCACAACACCGGGGTTACAATCCGGACACAAAAAGGGCTGCCTTCAAAAGCGGCAGGGGCTCCAGCCACCGTGTGACGGGAAAGCGCCGCCCCCGGCCTCGCTCCCTAGGACAGCGGGCCCGGCAGAGCAGCGGGATCCCGCGGGAAGTTTTAAACGAGCCACGTGGAAACCGATCGCTGTCTCGGCCCGGCCCGGCCCGCTAGCGCGTTCAGCGGGCAGCTCCCGGCCTGTCCCCACCAGGGGTCGTGGGCCAAGGAAGGGCCCGTGAGCGCAGAACCCCGCGGGGGCAGCTGAGGCCCTGACACTTCCCCGAGATACGCAGGAGACCAGCAGCCGCCGTGCCGCGTCAGGCCCCCAGCCCCCTTACCTCAGCGTCGTGACAGCGGCCCCTCCCCCCGCCTGCCGGAGCTCGGTCCCCATCGCGGGGCGCGCGCGTAGGGAGCCGACACTCAGTGACCCCCTCCCGAGAGGGAGGAGAAGGGGGAGCGGCCTGAGGGGCGGGGTCGCCGCCGTCACCTTCCCACCTCCCGAGCAGGTTCCTCTCCTCCGCCCGCGCTCCGGGTCGCGCGCTGGCCCCTCTTCGCGCGCAGCCGCGTCACCTCGCGCGTTCCTCCAGCCCGCGACCAAGAGAGAGACCGCGCGCTCCCCCATCCGTCAAAGTAGCCGCGCATGCGCGAGAGCTCTGCAGTGCCCGAGCGCCCCGGTGGAGGGTGTTTAATTCTCGGTGGCAGAACAGAACGATCCCGGTGCCGAGGGACGGCGGGGCCAGGCCCCCGAGCTCCGCACACGCTGAGGAACGGACTCTCCCGAGCTCCCCCCGTGCAGGGGAAAACCCGCCCGCCGTTACCGGGCTCCTCCGCAGCGGCAGGCCCCGCACTCCCACCCCAGCGCGGGTGATTTCAGCCGAGCGGAACCGGACGGTGTTTAGCGGCTCCCACGGCGCGTGTAACGTTGGGGGTTTCACCCTGTGAGCCCCAAGGCCTTGCCTGTAACCGCACACGCCGGAGCCGCACGCCCCTGAGCTCCCGCCGCTGCAACTTCTTCCGCGGGTTTTTGGGAGTGGGGGCCTGGCAATGTCTTCTCACCCACGCACCGGGAGCCCCACGCTGCTCTTTTTCTGAGCTGGAAATCAACTTTCACTACTTCTGAACGCAGCTACCCAGCAACAGGAGGCGGGTGGCACCTTAATGACTAACAGATTTATTTGGGCGTAAGCTTTCGTGGGTAAAAAACCCACAGAAGTGGGATTGTGGGTTTTCACGAAAGCTTATGCCCAAATAAATGTTAGTCTTTAAGGTGCCACCAGACGCCTTGTTGTTTTTGTGGATACAGATTGACACGGCTACCTCGGATACTTGGAAGCTACCCAGCAATTGATATTTATTTGGGAGCTAGAAGTGCAAGCAAAGGGAACATTGTATTCCTTTTAAATAAACATACAAAGTATGCCCTGAGGTCAGGGCCGGATTAACTTTTTATGGGCCCGGCCCCAAACATATTTGTGGGCCCCCATGGGGAAATAGGGCATGTGATGGGGGGGGGGGACATCCACAGAGTGATGGGCCGGTTGGGGGCAATGAGGCACAGTGGGAGTGGCCCCACTCAGCCCAGGACAAGGGCACTGTTTACAAACCGCAAACTGCTAGACGCCCAGCCCTGTGCTGCCAGTGTGCCCCTTCCACACTGCACTCCTGCTCAGTGCCCTGCCCTTATGCCAGTGCCCCCTCACCCAGAGACTTCCCCCAGAGATCCCTATGCCCAGCACTCCCTGCCTAGAGACCCCGCCCGCTGACATCCCATCACAACTACACAGCACCCTGCACACCATACCCCTGCCCAGCTCCCCCACCCACAGATCCCCTACTGTCCAGCATCCCCTTCACAGTCCCACCATCACAGCTGTACAGTGCCCCATATTCCTGAGGGAATTCTGCATCAAATTCTGTGCATAATATTTTAAAATTCTGATTTTTTTTTTATAATAAATGTGGAAGCTCCACCATGGCTGTGGGGAGCACAGGCCACTGGCTGCTTGGAGGAAGGAGAATACCCTGCAGCCTCCCCCACCCCCCAGGAACAGGGACTTGGCAGTGAGACTGAACCTGACCCTGACACAGCACAAGGGCCAGGCCTGCAACAGAAACACCCTGGGGCCCTGCCACTTTTGTGCCAGGCATACCCGATGTGAGCAGGGAGGCTCAGCCCAGCAGCGGGATCCAAATGCAAAGGGATTTAGTGTGGGGGTATCCAGATGGGGGTAAGAGGGTTCTGTGTGGGGAAGTCTGGGTGCAGGCAGCTCAGTGGGGGATCTGGATGCACAGGGAGGTGCCAGGTGCAGGGGCAATGGGAGTCTGCAGGGGGGACCAAGTAAAAGTGGTTGGAGCTCAGTGGAGGGAGGGGTCTGGGTGCAGGGGAAGGGATTGTTGTACTTAAAGTACTGAACAGGATCTTTTCGGGGGAATAAGGCAAACACTACATTCATTGGAAATACATGCATCAATCAACACTGTACTATATGCATATGATCTATATTACACTCATGCACTCACATACACACACACAAACACACTCCGTCTTCTTGTTACCAACTAGTTGCTCCCCTTAACTTCACTGGCCAGGTGAGTTAGATAGAGGAGGGGTGGAGCCGGGCTTCTGCCGATCTGGATCAATGCTCCTATGTTGACAAGTCCTAGCGTCCTCTGCAAGACACCTCACATTTATAGCAGCTTCCCTCTCATGCAAATCTATACCAGATTCAAAATCTGTGTCCCTTGGTTCTTTGTGCTGCTTCTTTCTGGGTGTTGTCCCAATACTGTTCAAACAGGGTGTTTCCAAAAGAAGGTGCTTGATTCTAAACCCCCTCCCCCACCCCCGAGGCCGTCTGCTCTTCTTTAGTGAGCCCACTTGACAAGTTTGATTGTCCGAAGCCAGGGTGCAGGGGGACTCCCTGCCCTGCAGATGTGCCCTGGCTAGGTGGGGGGGGGGGGGGCGCCGAGGGCTTCAGCGGGGCGCTGCCACACGGCCCGGCCCGCCGTGCCCCCTGCCGGGAGGGCTCCACACCGCTCCGGTCGGCTGGGAGGGAAGAACGCGGGCTGCCCTGCCGGGCTTGCTGCAGGACGCTCCCGTCCGCCACGCCGCTGCCCCCTACAGGGTGGCCGGAGCGGAACAACGGGAAAAAAAAAAGCAGCCGTGCCACCCTAGGATTGGGCGGAATGCCGCCTCCTACAAGCTGCCGCCCCAAGCACCAGCTTGCTCGGCTGATGCCTGGAGCTGGCCCTAGTCCTCAGGTCTGGCTTCCATCCCCTCTCCAACTAGCTGTCTGGAGGTGCTTGCCTTCCACGCCTTGCTCATTCACACCTCATTCATTCAACATGCCAGTTGATTAAGGGAGTGTGGGGAGGGGGAATCTTATTCTACTCCTAGCAAAAAGAAATTTTTCTTCTACTTTAACTATCCTTAGGGGCTATAACATTATACCAAGGCTTAACACAAAGTTTTCTATAAGTTTTTCTTCATAGGGATCTGATACAAAGTTCCTATATCAAAGGACTTGATACAAAGTTGTATGAAAATAGCTTAATACAGGGTTATATGAAGAGGCATAATACAAAGTCATATGAAAGTTAGAGGTTATATATGGATAGGCTTGATACAAGGTTACATAGAGAGGCATAATACAAAGTCATATGAAAGTTATGTGAAGATGCTTAATACAGAGATTTATCTACAGGGTTCATTTGGGTGGGGTTCTAGGTGTTGGTGGTTGGGGCTCAATGGGGAGGGTGTCTGGGGGGGCTCATCGGGTTGGTACAGATGCAGGGGAGGTGGGGCTTGTCAGGGTGAGGGTTTGATGGGCCTGCTTAACGGGGAGCCCCAGCTGCTGCCAAGGGGATCCGTATGCTGGGCCCCTGTTTCCCCTATCCCAGGGATCGGTAACCTTCGGTACGTGTCCCACCAGGGTAAGCCCCCTGGCGGGCCAGGCCGGTTTGTTTACTTGCCGCGTCCACAGGTTCGGCTGATTGCGGCTCCCACTGACTGTGGTTTGCCGCTCCAGGCCAATGGGGGCTGCGAGAAGCCGCGGCCAGCACATCCCTCGTCCTGCAGCCCCCCATTTGCCTGGAGCCACGATCAGCCGAACCTGCAGATGCAGCAGGTAAACAAACTGGCCCAACCCACCAGGGGGCTTACCCTGGTGGGTCGCGGGCTGAAGGTTGCCGATCCCTGCCCTATCCCCTTCTGTTCCCCATCCCACCCCCTTCCTTCCCCACTGCCTCTGTCCCCCTGCCCTGCCTGCCCCACCATGGGCACTCACTGTTGTACAAGATGAAGGATGGCTCCCAGCACACAGAAGGGAGCTCAACCAGCACTAGGACCCAGAAGGTGGTGTCCAGCTGCAATGTCCCGGGAGCTGAGAAGCACCTTCTTTTTTCAGCCTGGCTGTGCAGCTCTGCAGTCAGAGTAGGTCTGCTCATTCCACCCCCCTCCCCAAGGCCTCACCCTACCTCTTCTCTGCCTCCTCTCCCCAGGTGAGCATGCTGCGGTTGTGCTCCTCCCGGCAAACAGCTGATCGGCAGCAGGGAGGGGGAGGGCGGGAAGGGAGCAAGCTGTGAGAGGAGGCAGGAGAGGGGGAGCTTGGCTGCCCTACTGCAGCAGGAGCCTCACTGCCAGGAGCACCAAGCTTCTGCCCCCGCAGGAGGGGGGGCGGGCGGGCGGAGAAGAGTGGGCCTGGTAGGGGCCTCCCTGGAGTGTGGGCCCGGCTCCATGGTAAATCCGCTACTGCCTGAGGTTAGTGGCCAGATGCTAATACAGCCCTTATCCTTATTTCGGGCAAGTTGGTGATCCAATAGAATTTCTCAACATTTCAATAGATTATTGAGCACTTTGCATACACAATAACAATGGTGTTTGGGATTCAATGCAAAACATAAAAATATAGTTAAATTCAGTAGTAACAAGCAATATATGAAGTCCATGACTATTACCTAGAATTGGCAGAATCTGATTTTTTTTTTGATAATTTTTATGGATATTGATTATTTTTAAACTTTTTTTAGACTTTTATCAATTTAAGTTTTAAGTTGTGGGTCAGGAAATATTTAAAGAGATGTTAAGATTCAAAAAGTTAAAGCTTTAACTGTTAAAACATAACATCACATGTAAATCTATACAAAGTAAATATGTTTAAATCACTCCAATAAATTTCTCAAGCAGCATTTTTCTTACTTTGCTGATCTGTAAATTTCAGTTCAGGGGGTGCGGGGAATGGATCAGTATTCACTTTGCT